CCGGCCCCCGCCCCCCCCCGAGCCCCGCCCCTCTCCCGGCCGCCGGGCAGGGCCATCCCGGGGCTGCCCGCGGAGAAGCCTAGGTGCGGAGGCTCCGGCTCTCAGCTGGGGCGAGCAAGCCTGGCCTAGAGGGGCAGCCTGGGACCTCCCACTCTGCTCCTCCTTCAGCTGGGGACCTGAGGGCCCTAGAGCTGGCGCCTCCGCATGGGCGAAATCTGAGCGCCGTGGTTTCTAATATTCCTTGTGTGCAGGGAAAATTTCCGTTCACAGCTTCCTTGAGTGTCACGGTCTGTGGCTGCGTGTGGCTGTGAGTCAAGGCAGGCTTCAGGATAAGGTGGGCCCAGCTGCCATCATCCTCCACCCCTTTTAGCAGCTCGGAGAAGGAGGGTGCTGGGAGTGCGCCTAGGGGCAGCTGGGCGCTCAGATGGGTGGACGTGTGCGTCAGGCATCCCTGTGCAGCCTCCATGCATGAGCGTTCGCATCCACCTGCGGTGTCTGTGTGATGTGTGTGTCTGTGCGCGCCTCGGCATGCTTCTGGGAACCTGCATGTCTCTCTAAGAGTTTGTTGCCTATCCCCGTGTGCCCGGGAGTCTGCGTGTTTCTCCCTTTGTCTGTGGGCTGACGCACAGAGTGGAGTCCTGTGATCCCAGATGTGATTTCACGTCTGGGAGCAAAACGTGTGCCTGTGGGGTTTTTTTGCGGTGCCCTATGCTTATAGGGATAAACGTGTTTGGATTGTGTTGGCACATCCACGTATGTGACCTGTGTTTGTGATGTGTCTCTGCACACTGGTGTGCTACACACAGACACAGGTGTTTCTGTGCCCATCAGGGGACACAGGGCTCTGCTGTCTTGGTTGGTGAAATGCCATGGTCCCAGGGAGGGCCTCTCACCCACCAGCCAAAGGCGAGTACCCAGCTCTCCTTCTCTTTCAGCCCTGCTCACACCTCTGCCAGGCGCTGCCCTTGCTCAGCCCCACTCTTTCCCAGGGAGACAGCCCAGCCTCAGAGAGTGCCCCCTCCCCCATCAGGGGCTCCTGTCCCATCGTGGGGACCAGGCAGGGGAGTCCCTCACCTTGTCCTGTGGGAAGTCAGATTCCATGGAGAACTGGGCAGGGTCTGCAGGACCCTGCAAGGCCCCCAGCAGGACTAGCCCCACCTATAGCATTCAAGGAGTAGCTATTCTCCTGGAGCCTGAGCAGGGGCCTGAGGCCTGGGGCTAGCCGTGTGAGCAGAGGGAGGCAGGCGGGAGGAGAGGAGAGTACAGCCCAGCCAAAGCCTCATCCCCCATGTGGCTGAGTGAGGATGGGAAGGGGGGGAACTGGGGGGGGAGGGGAGGAGCAGGGGAGGTGGCAGAGGCACCTTACCTAGCTGGCCCCTTCTGCACTCCCAGAGGCCGGAGCTAACCTGGACCCTGCCCACCCCACTCCTGTGGTCAAGGCCCACACACCAGACCACAGGACGAAAGAGCCACCTACCCCAGCCAGCCCCGATGGGAGCGGGGGCGTGCCATGGTGCTGTCCTGCCTCTGGGGTCCCTGTTCACCTCTCATTCCTCGCCTCACAAATTCTGCCATCATTCCCTCTCTGAGCCCAGTGTGGTGGGCTGAATAATCGCCCCCAGAGGTATCTGGGTCCTAACTCTTGGAATCTGTGAATGGTACCTTATTTGGGAAAAGCGTCTTTTCAGATGTGATTGCATTAAGATTTGAGCTGGAAAGATTATCCTGGATTATCCAGGTGGGGCCTAAATGTAATCACAAGTTATAAGGAGGGGGAAGAGGGAGATTTGACCACAGACATAAGAGAGAAGGCCACGTGAGGACCTCAGCAGAGAGAGAGATTTGGAGATGCCATGCTGCTGTCTTTGAAGAAGGTGGAAAGGACCACAAGCTAAGGAATGCGAGGAAGGCAACTCTAGAAGCTGGAAAAGGCTGAGAAACAGACTGTCTCCTAGAGCCTCGGGGGGAAGTGCAGCCCTGCTGACACTTTGATTTCAGCCCAGGGAAATTGATTTCAGATTTCTGGTCTCCAGGACTGTAAGACAATAAATGTGTGTTGTTTTAAGCTGCTGGTTTGCAGTAATTTGTTATAGCAGTCATAGGAAACTAATAAACCCAGTGACCCTGGGAGGAAACACAGAGCCCCATTTGTGCCCTAAGAGTTTGACCCTGGAAGGCCCGGGAGGCCCAGGTGGTGATGGGAAGCTGCGCTGCACGGGCCAAGGCAGAGAACCTGGATCTGTGGCCTGAAGTGGAACCTAAGGGCCAGTGTGCTGGGTTCAGCTTCCCCCACTCTCAGCCAGATATGGGGCTCTGGCTAGTGGCCCCCTCGGTGCCCTTCTCAGTGTGGGCCTTTCTGGGCTCATGCGTGGCCTCCATCCTTGCTCAGCCCAGGCTGCAGCAAGCTGGTCTCTTCCTGGAGTCTGGCCCAGACTTCCGAGGCTGTGAGAGCATCTGGTGGGCCTGGGTCTCAGGCCTGTCCTGTTCCCTGTGGGCGGAGGCTGGGACTGCTCACAGCTCCAGTGTCTCCCCACTCCCCCAGCCAGGGGGTAGATGTGCAAGCCTGTGGGACAGAGAAGCCTGGGTTTCTTCAGAACCCCACCTCCTCTGACCTCTGACCTTGCAAGGGGAGAAGAGGCCGGGGAGGGAGTCCTGTGTGTGATGCAGACATGGAGGGGCTGCAGCTGTGGCCTGTGGGTGGACAGGGGCTTTTCAGGCCCCAGACACAGGCCCAGCCAAGCAGCCCCAGACACAGGCCCACACAGACTCGTGCAGGCCTGGAGCCCACGAGTCTTCTAGAATCTGGATTTCTGGTAGCATATTCCCCTCTTTGCCTCCTGGCCCTGCCCCTGGTGGTCGGGAGGTCATGATAGAGAGGAGATGTGGGTGAGGGAGAGCACTCTGAATGGGGTCAGCATGGACACTGCCACCCACCAGTGTGGCCAGGAGGGTGAGCACTGGGCCCACAGGGGCTGGCAAAGGTGCAGGGGACCACTCCTGGGGACCATTTCTACCTGGCACAGCCTCAAGCTGAGCATGCCTCCACCCCACCCACTGTGCACCACTCCCGCACTGGCTGCCATCTTCCAGCATCCATAGGGATCCTGGTGAGTCAGGGGTGACAGCACCTCAGCCCTCCCAGTCTCCTCCAGCTCCCTGGCTCTGGCTGGGCCTCTGCTGTAGGAGTGTTGCAGGCAGCAGAGGGCATGATGTGTGGTCCCATCAGTGATTCCATTGAAGTCGGCACCCCTCAAAGGCAGGGACATGGGGGTGGGCCCAGAGTTGGGAGCTAGGAAGTGTTCAGTCAAAGCTGGACTCTGGGGGCTGGCCCCGTGGCTTAGTGGTTAAGTGCTCACGCTCCGCTACTGGCGGCCCGGGTTCGGATCCTGGGCGCGCACCGACGCACCACTTCTCCTGCCATGCTGAGGCCGCGTCCCACACACAGCAACTAGAAGGATGTGCAACTATGACATACAACTATCTACTGGGGCTTTGGGGGAAAAAAAGGAGGAGGATTGGCAATAGATGTTAGCTCAGAGCCAGTCTTCCTCAAGCAAAAAGAGGAGGATTAGCACGGATATTAGCTCAGGGCTGATCTTCCTCACAAAAACAAAAAACAAACAAACAAAACAAAACAAAAAACTTAAAAAAAAAATGCTGGACTCTGGTTCTGTGGCCTCCATTCCTTGCTGGGACCACAGTCCCTAGGAGTGACCCTAATGTGAGCCCACCCTTTGCCCATCCTCCTCCCAGAGGGCCCAGGAGTCAAGGAGCACAGACTGGGGGTCTGTGGGCATGTGTTTATTTAGCAAACAAGGAGGGGCCATCAGTAGGGTGGCCTGGGGAGCAACTGGTGGGCTGCGCGCCATGGAAAGTGTCTCCTGGGTCTCTCACTGGTGTCTGGGTTGGTGGGGGCAGCTGGGCAGCATCCTGGGCAGGGGCCGACCTGAGGGCGTTGGGGGCAGAGAGAGACAGGAGGCACCTGAGAGGGAGACAAGGGAGTAAAGATGGCAGCATGCTGGGTGGGGGAGCAAGGGCAGGCCTGAGACCCCACCCCACTGCACCCTGGCTCCCATCAGCCCCTCCCCAGCCATACTCACTGCACGCTCACTGTTCATCGATGCACTGGTCTGTGGGGGAGAGAGTCCATCAGAATGAGCAGGTGTGTGTGTGTGTGTGTGTGTGCGTGTGTGCGTGTTTGTGTGTGTGATCCCTGACCACCAAGGCCCTGTACTGCCCCTGGGCTGCCCCAGGCCCCAGCCTGGCCCAGCAGCAGCAGATCTAGGGGTTCCCTTCAGGGATGCGGCAGCAGAGGGGCAAGTGATGGGGCTGGGGGATTGGGAGAAAGGCCTGAGGATGAGCGGACCTGGGGGACACCCTCCAGAGGAGGCAAGTGAGGCCCAGCCACTTGCTCGGGCACCTAGGCCTCCTGCCCATTTACCTGCTGAGCCCTGGCAGCCACTTAGCCTTGGGGAGGTCAGTGGCTCTCTGAGTGGCCTGGCTGGAGCCCTCTGCCCAGGCCAGACCACCTTCAGACAAGGGTACCTCCCAAGTCAGTGGTGGGCAAGCCCCAGGGCAAGGGAGGACGTGGCCCAGGACAGCAGGACCTGGGATATAGGGGGAGGTGGCCGTGGCAATGAGACTGGGGAAACTTGAACCTGGGCCTGAAATTCTCATCTGGGCAGGCCCAAGCTGCCTGTCAGGGAGGAACACTTGGAGCCCAGATCCCTGCGGGCCCCACAGACCCCTGGGTGGGAAAGGGTCTCCCTGAGCCCAAAGTGGCTCCCAGGGGGCTCCAGTGAGTGGACCAGGGGACCGAGTCTCTTCTCTCCCCCTTTCCTTGGTGGGGCAGCATCAGGCCTAGACAGCTGCTTGTCCCCTTCTCCTCTCCCCAACTGGGCCTTACCGATAGGGATAGGGAAGATGATGTGGTCATCGGTGAGGCCAATGGATTTCGCAAAGTGGATGAATTCCTCCCTCCGTTCAGGGGGCAGCTCCTTGGTCCTCCCTGTGGCCAAGACGGCCGATGAGTGGCCAGCAAACATTCCATAAGTATTGTAGAATGTGTGAATGAGGCCTCAGACGCCTTCCTCACTGAGGGGTCTGCAGAAGGACCTCTCTCCCTGGCCTCCCAGGGGCTCAGAGCAGAGCTGGCACTGGAGAGGACCTTGGGGGCTGGGTGGGGATGAGCCTCTTCTCCCCCCGAGTGACCAGGAGCCGGGTCCCCAAGGAGATGGGTGACGACCCACCATAGAGGGTGGTCTTGAAGTAACCCTGGTTTTTGTAAAACTTCTTGAAGAACATTATGGCATACTGGTTGTAGTTGGTGGCCACCACTCGCACGGTGTAGCTCTGCACTCCAGGATAACCTGTGGGGTGGATGGCGAGTGGTCAGCCTGCCCTGGCCGGGAGGAGGGAGCCAATCCCTTCTCCACAGCCTGTCTGCATGGGCTTCCCCCCATAGGACAGCACCTGTGTGGAGGGGCAGGGGTGTCTGTTCCCCTTGTGGGAGGCCTCCACCCCCTGGAACCCCCAGTTCAGGGCCCACCTCACTCGGGACTCACGTTTAATGCCGCGCAGGTTGAACTGGCCAGGCAGGGAACTTGGGACAAAAGTTCTGATCCAGTGGTCACAGCCTTCGTCCCTGTGAGAGTGAGAGATGGGCGGGTGAGAGGGAGAGGACACAGGCTTGCACCACCTGGGCTGGACGAGGTGGGGCCAGGGCTGCAGCTGAAGGGGCTAAGATTCTGATGCCCCTGGTCCAGCTAGCCCAGGACAGCCCATCCCCCACCACAGCAGGAGGCCCCACCCCACCCAGCTCAGAGGTCCTGGGTCCTGCCCTCTGAGCCTATCCCTGGCTGTCCCTGCCTGGTTGGCCCTGGGCTACCTGACCCTGCTCAGACCCGCCCTTCAGCACCCACTGTCCTTTCCTCTTCAGGGCTGTCTCCCCTTAGTGGCCTTCCCTACATACTGTCCCCCCCATGTCCCCCAGGCATTTATCTGCTACTCTTCTCTTCTCTCTGCTGCTTCCCTCTCTGTAACCTCCCCTGGAGGATTCATCCTGTGAGGTTCCAGTCTATTCCATGCCAAGGACACCTCTAGCTCTTGGGCCAATGCTGACCTCTCACCTGAGTCCCACCCTGTCCCCTGATCTCCCAAACCCACCCTCCTTCTGCCCCTTGTTCCATAAATGCTCCAGTGCCCATGTCCCCAGGAGCCAGAGCCAGAATCCCATAGGCACTGGGTGATCCCTGGCACTCCCCCATTCATCTCCCCACTGTAGCCAGAGGGGCCCTGCTCAGACCCACTCCTCACCAAATCCCTTCTGGGCTGGTGCCTGAGGCCCCTGCCAGGGCTGCCCACCCCACTCCAGGCTGCTCAGCGGCTCCCGCTTGGGGCAGCCCCGCGATGGCTTGCTGCTTCCTGAAGGAGCGGCTCTCTGACTCGGAGTCCACCAGCCCAGGCGTGAACGCCTTCATCCCTCCTGAGGCAGGTTGGCTCCTTCAAGGCCCAGCCCAGAGGCCACCTCCCTGGAAGCCCTCAGTGAAGCCTGGGTGGGGCTGCAGTGACCCTCCTCCCATGCCAGGACACCCCTGCTCTCTCCATCTTGTTTCCTAATGACTGTCCATCGCCATTACTGTGTGTCTGTGCTGAAGTGACCAATAAATGCTGATCTAATCAAGGAAGGAAGGAATGAACAAATATATGAATCCAGCACTCAGCAGCAGGGTGAATGACTCTCTCTCAGCTTCGGTCACCCCTTGGCTGTGACATCAGTCTGCCTCGCAGCCCCCTGGGCAGCCCGCCAGGTCCCCCAGGTTCCCCGAGGAGGCGGCAGCTCTCACCGGAGCAGGGTGGAGGTGACGTTGTAGCTGCCGTCGTTTTTCAGCTCGTAGGTGGTGGCGTACATCTTAACCTGGCCTTGCTTTTCTTTCCTGATTGCATTCCCAGCCAGGCCCACAACGTACCACTTCCCCTGGAACTGCAGGGGCGTGATGACAGGCAGAGCCCAGCAACGGGCCCCAGGGTCCCTCACTGCTCCGCCCCTGCAGGCACCTCTGAGCAGCCCAGACCGGAACCAGGAGCCCCTCTAACTAGGCGGCAGGGCCCGGGACGAGGCACTCAGGCCTGGGCTGGGCCTGCACTGATGAAGCCAGAGCTGGAGGCCGCCAGGCCAGGTGGGGGCCCTGAGTCTGGCAGGTATGAGGGGACCCTGGGCAAGTGGCCAGCTGGCCTCCCTGAGCTGCAGGTTCCTCGTCATGCAGAGGGACTGAAGATGTTCCCGCCTTGCAAAGACTATGGGGATTATGGGAGAGAGCGTGGACCCAGCAGGGTCTGCTCAGGTGACCCTCTTGTCAGCAGGGTCCCGGGTGAGATGGGGGCATGGGGCGTGGCCTCCAGAAGGTGATCTGAGGGCAGGCTGAGCTGAAGCTTGGGGCTGTCCTGCCCTAACACGCTTCCTAAGACTCTTTGCCTCTCTTCCACTCTGCTTGCACTCTCCGCCGGGCCCTCCTTCCAGCTACCCTTCCAGGCCCCTCACCTGGTCATCCTGGAAGTCGGGCTGCAGCGGGATTCTGAGCAAAGGTGGGGACCGGATCAGGTTTTGGGCAGAGTCCTGGGCCTGGGTCTGCAGGACCCCCAGCAGGGTGAGGCCCAGCCACAGGAGCCCTAGGGCCATGATTTCAGGGCTGAGGAAGCTGGCGCTCCAGGAGCTGCTGCAGGAGGAGGAGGGTGAGGAGCCTGGCCTGGGGCTTCTTATTTATGGTCGGCCCACCCCAGGGTGGAGTGATTCATCCTTTGCCACATCCAGGAAGGGGAGGCAATTGCCAGCAACTCCTGCTGAAACACTTGGCAAGATTTCTGCCCCTTTCACCGCTGGTCAGGATTGTGCAAGATGGGTGGGCAGGAACACCAAGGGGGTTGGGAGGGGCGTTCCCCAAGCTCTGCGCCTTTGGCAGGGACAAGGGCTCCCTCTGCACACGCTCTGTAGCCCTTCCCTTCGCTCTGGTTGGCCTTGTATGTGGGTCAGTGGTCCTTGATCTGGACTAGCTGTCCTCTGACCTCCAGGAGCCCCTGCTCAGCCCAAGCCCGGGGTAGGGTCTGTGCAGTGAGGCCCCCCCTTCCAGCACCTGATGTAAGCAGGGAATGCCTCACCACAACAGACCGTGTGTTGTTTCCCAGTTCTCGGAAGGGATAGGGGAGAGTGGGGCAGCTAAGAGTGGCATGCCCAAGAGGGAAGGACAGAGTATGTGCCCCGAGCTTTTGGAGCCCGGATCCTGGCCCTGGCACAGGGTGAGACCCTCCGAGAGGCTGACCTGGGAGTGCTCCCTGCCTTGAGTCAGCCCCTCCCCTCCTCCACGCCCCATTTGTAAGAACAGACTACAGCTGACCCCTAGGGGACTTGGCCTGTCCTGTGGGCCCAGTCCTGGGCCTGGGTCTGGGACAGAGACCCCAAGCTGGACACTTGAGCAGCACACATGGCTGCTTTGCAAAGCAAAATGCCAAGGCTGTAGTCCCAGCTCTGTCCTGAGTGGGGACAAAGAGGGGCGTGCACCTGTGCTGGGTAAGGCGGGCTGGGGCCCAAAGGTGGGCTCTCCACCAGCCTGCTCTGGACACCAGGTGCTTTGGGTCACAGGGAACACAAGAACTTGGCCTCGGCCTTGAGAGGTCATTGAGACCATCCCCGTCGCCGGCCACAGCCTTGGGCCGCAGAGCCCAGTGACTCAGGCCTGGGCACCTAGAAGTGTTCCTGCCACAGCTGGTCCCAGCTTTGTCCTGGAAGGAAGCAGTTTCCTAACTGGGGGCCTGGTCATCCTTGGGAGGCAGTAATGGGTCCCCACTCCTGTGCAGTGTCTCCAAGATGTCACCACGGGGGCAGCGGCAGTCTGGACACCTGACCTGAGGCTTAACTGAGGGTTCGCTGGCCTTGGAGGAGACTGACAGGACCTCAGTGGCTCTGCTCACCTGCTGTGGGGAGATCAGCTCCCCTAGCCTGGGCTCTAGGGTAGCGGGCCCTGAGGGAAGGGGCTTTGGAGGGGGTCCCGAGCTCATGGGTAGGGCGCGGCCTCGGCATCCCTGAGGCCAGAGAGGCCCCCACAGGACCCCAGTCCCCTCAGGCCCTGCCCTACCTGCCCATCTGAGTGATGAAAGGGCAGGAAGTAGAGTTGAGCAAAGCTTCTTTGGGGGAACGATGCTGCCACCAAAGCCCACACACCCTCCGGAGGTGCCAGTGGCCACATCCCACGCCTCTCATCACCACTGGCAGCCCCAGGGGCTCCACCCCTGCTCTTCTCTGTGACCTTAAAAGGTATCCTCAAGGGGCCGGCCCCATGGCTTAGTGTTTAAGTGCGTGCGCTCCACTACTGGTGGCCCGGGTTCGGATCCTGGACGCGTACCGACACACTGCTTGTCTGGCCATGCTGAGGTGGCGTCCCACATACAGCAACTAGAAGGATGAGCAACTATGACATACTGGGGCTTTGGGGAGAAAAAGGGAAAAAAAGGAGAAGGATTGGCAATAGATGTTGGCTCAGGGCTGGTCTTCCTCAGCAAAAAGAGGAGGATTGGCATGGATGTTAGCTCGGGGCTGATCTTCCTCACAAAAAAAAAAAGGAAAAAAAAAGGTATCCTCAAGTCTGCAGTGACTATTGGATGTGGGGAGACTGATGGATGGGGCCCCAAAGAATTTTAAGTAGGGAATGGCCAGTGTTCTGGTTCACCAAAGAGCTGCTGGATGGAATATTCTAGACTCTGAATGTCAGGGGGTAGAGTAGCCAATGCTCCCCTGGTATGAATTGGGGTGGGGAATTAGGGCTGAGTCTGTAGCAAATGAAAACCAGGGCTGGGTGCTGGAGGGATGACAGCTTGGCCCAGGGACCCTACTTGGAATCCTGGCCCCTCCAGGTGCTTGTGAATCCCTGCCCACCCGCATTCCCGTCAGCTTCCCCCTCTGCAAAGAGAGCTGTGCTGCAGATTCTTTGAGGCCATGCACACACAGTGCCTGGTGCACAGACAGCGCCCGGTGCACACACGTGGGGTGTCTCTACATGCAGTCACCGCTGAGTTTCTGACCAAAGCCCTGCGGGACCCATTCTTCTCCCTGTGCTGGCTCTAGGCCTCAGACCTGCTGGCCTTGTCTCTCTCTCTGTCCTCATCTCTGTGTGATCTTGGCCTCAGCTAACACCTGGTGACAGCCATCTCATCACCCCTTCCTCACCTGGCTGCCTTCTGCCTTCTCTCCTGCCCCACCCAGCCAAGGATGGTCACGGCATGGCTGGAGCAGAGGTCAGGCCACGCTGTGGCCGATCCCAGCCAACAAGAGGTGGGTGTTGGGCTGGCTGGAGCTGGAGGGCAGGGGACCAGCCGGCGGTGCTCGCTGTATTCTGCCTTTGGAAGGGAGGGTCCTGCAGGCTGGGCTGGGGGTAAAGGTGAAAAGCTCTGCCCACCCTCTTCAGAGCCCAGCAGGCCTTCTGGGGGAGGGTCAGCTCAACGTGCACACCCACCTCTCACAAGCTGTGAGACTCAGCACTGGGAGGGTTGGGTGAGGACCGTGGTGTAGACCTCCTGTTTAGACTCAGGCCGACTCCAATAGCTCCGGGGTAGACAGGACCCTGGAGGCCCCACTCGTTGCCCACCCCCTTCCCACTGGGCCTGGGCCCCTGGCCAAGGAGGGGACTCCCGGGTTCATGCTGCCTAGAGCAGGGGGCAGTCCTTGGGCCCCAGGGCTCTCAGAATGGTCTGAATCACACACGTGGCACCGTGTGGGGGCACACCAGGCACTCGATCGCCTCTTCTTGGCCCCTCTCTTGGCTTCTACTGTGGCCTCTAGGCTGGTTCCGCAAGGCCACCCCTACTAACTCTCCCTGCTCTCTCTCCAGGAGCTCAGATGTCCTGAGTGAGGCCACAATAAACCACACAGAAGCCTTGAGGCCAAGCCCCTCTTGGGAGAAGCCAGAGCAGGGCCTTCCAAGCCCTGTCCTGGGTCTCTTTAGCAGTGACAGGAACTTAAAAACCATCCACACCTGGGTTTCTCTGTGGCAAGAAGCCACGAGAACTCTGGCTGCTCCAGACCCCCAACAGTGTCTCTGGCAGGTGGTACTTGCCCCTCCGTGTGCCTAGGAGCAGAGGCTCCCAGGAACTGCAGTGGCCTGTCGTCCCACAGAGGGGCCCAGGCTCCACCCCTGGTCTAATCCACTCAAGAAGGCAGCAAAATGTTCTCTGACAGTTCCTGCACCTCAGGAATCCAGTCTAACACCCTGGACTGGTTTCTGGAAGCCTGTGAGCAGTGTTCAGCCCAGCCTCAGATGACCAGGGCAAAAGCAATCCTCTCTCACCTGCTTGAAGAGCTGGGCAGGAGCTCCCCCTGAGGGGGTGACTAGGCCCCTCAGAGCCAGGGGCCACGCCTGGGAAGAGCCTACAGGCATGATGCCCCCAGGAGGCCGATCACAGCAGCAGGAACTCTTGGTGTCCACAGATGGGCCTTCCTTGACCACCGCGGGTCCCAACACCCAGGAGGAGGGAGTGTAAGTGAACATAAGTGAGGCCATCTTGTTACGCTAAAGGACCTTTCCCTAGTTAAAATGTAATCATCATAAATTACTACACACTCATGATTTTCTGGCCCTGCTCCTGTGCACGTACCCCTGCTGAGGTACTGTTGTAGCTTTGTTCCTAACAAATCCTAACGAATTTTCCCAAGGAAGAAGAAGGCCATCACAAAGAAGGAACACCTGTAGGATATTCATCACCACTGACAGAAGAAAAAAACAATGAGAGACCCTGGAGTCCATCATGCCTGAAGGCCGACATTTCTAAACCGCCCCCCTTACTGCCCATTTTCCCTATATAACCGCCTCAAGATTCTGTAATTCTTGAAGATGGTTTTTTGAGACATTAGTCTGCCATCTTCCAATTCTGCCGGCTGATTGAATAAAACCTTCCTTTCTCGGTCTCTCGTTGTGATTAATTGGCTCAGATCACGGCAAGCAGAGCAAGCCCATTGCTTGGTCACAGAAGGACTGTTTGGCGTGAGGTTCCTGTTCCCCCAGGGCCTTGGCTTGAGTGTCCAGTTTCCAGAAGCAGCTTCCCATGGGGTCCACCAGGCAGGGGGCAGCATGAGGTCTGGGCCCAGGGCTGCCTTCTGGTTCTGGTCCTCGGATGCGTTGCCCGAGCATGCCCCTTAGCTGGGTGCTCCTGCCTTCCACTCTGGGGCCTGGACTCCCATGCAGCTGAGAGGGCCCATGATGGCCACAGGGGGGCAGGGGACTGGAGGCCACGGCTCTGAGCAGGGTCTGCAGTGGATGCTGGGATCCCATGGAGTTGGGCAGGGGTGCTTTTGCCAGAAGCCTCTGCCTGGCATGGCCTTGGCACTGGACAAGACATGCTCCTCCAGGCTCTGCACCCCTCCTGCCTGGGTGGCAGCTTCCAGCACCCCAGGAAAGGAGCTGTTCCATCCCCACCACTCCTGGGTCACCCTCATACGCCCTGCTCCCAGGCCCTGGGCTGGGCCTCTGCTGGACACGTCAAAGGTGGCTTGTGTAGGAAGATGGGTCTGGCTCTCTGGAAAGGCTGGTTCTCCTTTGTACCCTAAGGACCCAGGACATGCCAGGGGAATGCCCAGCCCAGGGGCAGGGTAGTGGGTGCTGGAAGGGTTAAATGAGAACAAATGTCTGAGAGGTGCTCAGGCTCCTCCTGGGTCCTCTCTGGGTGCTCGGGGCGGGGGTGGGGGGCGGGGGGCTGGGGACTGACC